ACTATGTGTAGTCCCCAACTTACAACCATTTGTTTAGTGATCATTTGAAGTTACAATGGCTCTAAAAAAAGGGGCGTATGATTCTTTTTCACACGACTGTTGCAGCATCCCCGTGGTCACATGATCAAAATCCAGATTAGGTGGTCCTAAAGGTGCTTTTTCAAGGGGCAACTGAACTTTCTTGTTTTTCTTTGCCCCTTGAACAAGCCCCTTTTGGACAGCCGTGACCTGGATGACTGAGAATCTCCGTAGACACATAGTACTAGGTGATACTTTGGCTTCTAAAAGGACCAGTGGTAGGATTCCAAATCTTTTCCTATCAATTCTATGAGGAAGCATTTCACGTGTGTGCGCAGCACTCAAAGACCGCTCTCGGTGTCAGCACTGGTGAGCTGATCTGTTTTTTAGCTCAGCTGAGGTGCGGCAATCCACTCTGCTGCGTGAATCAGATGAACTAAAAAACAAGGGAATATAGGACAGGGAACGACGGGGGCAGGAGGGCGGGGCCAACCAGAGGTTGTATTTGCTGGTTCTCTGAACTACTCAAAATTTATGCTACCGGTTCGCCTGAACTGGTCAAAACTGGCTGAATACCACCTCTGAAAAAGACAATGAATGCCTTGGTTCACAGCAGCATCAAATGGTAGTTAATTCAGAGCAATGTTAATTCAGATTTGGCATGGGTGATATATTCATGACTGCATAGTAACATAAAAATACCTCACATGCTTTAATATAGACTCCTGCCCAGAACAGAGAGTTGGATTCCGTGGCCTACAGGGGCCTTCCAACTCCAAGATCTCAGGATTTAGGGAGCCGGAGATGGCCTGGATATTGTTTAATTATCTATTCAGCTTTTGCAGGTGACATTCACTAGTTTGAAAAAATGAAGTGGCTTAGACCAAGGAATTGGGGTCCCCAAACTTAGTTTGTTTGTTCAGTGGTCACTGAAAGCTGAGTATAAAATCGATAGAAGATAAGGAATCTGAAAAATAGGGAAATTGACCAAAACGCCCCACAGCAAGAAATACTTTTTTGGTCCTTATGACAAATAATTTGGGAATTCCTTTTGCATCAGAGTTGAAACCATTTTTTAAAATGGTCTACATTTTGTAAGAAAAGCAAAATCTCAGATGTTTTCTCCCACAAGATCATGAAATGTGGCACAGCATGAAATCACAGAATTGGGAAAGGATTGCTGTGCTAAGTTTAATTGCTGAGTACTTTTTCTTTGATAATTATATCTGCTATTTTAATCCGCTATTGTGTAGGGCTTTGTGAGATTCTTGACTTGGAAAGTGATATAGAACTAGCTATATTTAGAAGGATATATAGGCATAGAACTATTAATGAAATAATTTAATGATTTAAAATAATTGACAAGCAATCTTGTCAAATGATTTGGAACAGATTGGAAAGTGATTATTTCTGTTGGATTCAGTACAATACTGAATTAAACTGGAAGTTGCACTGTTAGTATAACCATTATAACCAGGGGTGGGTTCCTGCCGGCATTACTACCGGTTTGACAGGCAGGCAAAAAAGTTTGCACATGCGCTATTGCTTCACTCGTACACATGCCAGATGCACATGTGTGCATTTGCACCTTAAACGGTCTGTGCATGCGCAAAACATTAGAAAAGGAAAAAAATACATTTTTCAAATGAATATTGTTCTACGCATGTGTAGAACAGAAAATCAAGATGGCGCCGCCGAGCAAAGAACCGGTTTGGGCGCGTGTCCGCCTGAGTTAATATCTACTCGGCCAAACTGGTCCAAACTGGTAGGAACCCACCTCTGATTATAACTTGCTAAAACAAGGTTTGGTGGTAGAGAAAATAGTCATTTCAGCAGTTCTGTTCTTTTTTTTTTTTTAATGAAAAATGATTTAGAACAATGCTTCTACTTGTTTTTTTGTCATGGGTTGATCAAGACACTGTCTTCATAATTTAAAGTGAGATTCCTGATGACTTAAGAGGTGCAGTTTCCTGGATATAATAGCTTCTCTTCTTCGGGTATGTGGCTGAAATTCCTGATCTACCATTCACTCTGAAATCGTCTGGTGGCTTCCCATCCCAGCATTACCCAAGTCTGATGCAGCCAAGTTTGTCAGCCCAGACAAGATTGGCTAGATATTACTGCTTCTAAGACAGATACCAAGCCTTAAATTCCCATCATTTTTAGGCGATCACCTGCTATATATCAAAAGCAGCACAAGCCTTTTTTTCTGTTTGCAGATCTTTAGTAGCTTATCACTTCTGAGAATTGGCTCACTTATCATTAGTGAATTAAATGGCTCCCTAAATATTTCAGAATATATCAAATGGCACAACGGCACCGAATATGAATAATTCATTGCTGAAAATTACCTTTCCGTTCTTTGATATAGGAGGGACAAAAGCACCATAATAAATAGAAGAGTGGAAGTCATCATTCACCGAAATCCCATCTAGGAAGAGAAGCTCAAAATAATCTGTTGTTTCCCCTAAGTGTGTATGTTTGCCTATGTGTGTATATAACGTGCAAAAATGAAATGTGGGATTCTGGAATAGGTGGGGTGTCCTTGATCCTCTAGAAAGGATATGCTCTTACTTTTATCCTTGGCAGAAAGACAATCATAAACGAAGTGTTTTCTTTTCCATATACACACATTTCCATCTCTCCTTCTCCATCTTTCTGCTCTGGAAGGATGGCTTTTGTTCCTAACCTGCCGTGTAGAACTTTACAGCCTGCCTGGGGGGTGGGGAGGAGAAGGTGTAGGGAAGGGGAACAGGGATTCTTCTAGTGAAGACTGCTGCATGTAAAGGCAACAATGGAGGGCAGGAGATGAAAGAGATCAGAGGTGGGTTCCTACCGGTTCGGCCCAGTTCGACCCAACTGGTAGTGGCTTGGCGGCCT